AACGTGTGTATGCCTTTTCACACCCTTGGGGGCAACCAGTACCAGATTGCAGAATCGACGGAGGAGAGACCAATACCGATCGAGAATGTGTGTCTCGCAGTTGACTGCATAGGTTTTGATGGCCAGATCTATGACTTGGGACCCAGTACCCTTTGGAAGGGATACTGGAGGTAGGACACACGAATCGCTCCATGTACTTCGATACAGTTCATATGTGTCGAGGAGATGCCTGTCATCTTCTGGGGTGTTCGTCCTGGCACCCACTGTTCCTCTCTGCACCATGTTGAAGCACTTTCGAACGAACGAAGGATCGCTCGACGACACAGTGGGGATGGTGATGCCCTCCTCCAAGCATCGCCTGAGATGCAGCTCCAGGAGCCGAGATGCTTCGTACTGCACGTGTGTCATGGCCCGGACAGTCTCCTCGATCTTGTCGTGCAAGGCGCCGTTCTTGATGATGGCGTCAAGAGTGCACTTGATGATCGAGTACTCGGCCTTGGCATACTCGTTTGGTTCACAGGCAGGCAACGTGGAGCTCCAGAGAGGTTTGTTCGCTGAACATTTGGAGCTGTTGCTTCTCCCATGACCCTCCTGTTTGCAGGTCGGGCAGATCAGGACCTTGGGTGCAGGCATCTCGACCACGAGGGCCGGAACAGCGATGTCTTCACTGGACTCGTCTGGAGGGGGTGCTTGGCAAACGGCCCCAAAGACAGACGCTGAGTCAGAAGGGGGGGCCAACTCGGTTCGGGCCTTGCACTTCTTGGTGAAGGGCTTGACATGGTTGGTCAGACCACAGGCACGACACGATTTGATGACTAGTTTCTTGGCAGCATGTTCGTCGCGGGGCTGCCCAGGATCTGGATTTGGGTCGGGAGGAGATTTTTTCTTGCGGGGAGGCATCTGTCGCGATTTCGACACCCCGTTGATTCTACCCATAGGCAAGAAAAAACCAAGGGTGAATTTGACGCACTTTTTCGATGGTATGATTCACGCCCAGAAACGCATCGCGCGCTCAATCAGCCGTGGGAAGACATCTGGAAGCACCCTCCGCACGGCGGACTCGAACAGGGTCACCATCCCGATCCTGAACCCCTCGGAGGCATTCAGCGTTGCTGCCTTCCTGTACTGATGCTTCACAATCCCAAAGAAGTTCTCGATGGGATTGAAGTCGGGCGAGGCAGGTGGGGTGAAGATCACTGACCATCCTCGGCGCTCGATGCAGTCCAGGACAGCCCTTGTCTTGTGCATGCTGACATTGTCCATCACAATCACAGAGTCGTCTGGGAAGCTCGCTCGCTCAAAGAACTCGACCATCGAGTGTGTCTTGAATGATGTGGGGATGTACATGCGATGCAGCACACCAGAGTGGTTGATGGCAAATGCAGCCGAGACAGACTTGTGCTTCATGTGATTGCGCTGGCGAAGCGGAGCACCCTTCGGTGAGTATCCGTAGAGAGAGAAAATGGATCTCCTGATCCCTGTCTCGTCGACAAAAACCAATCGTCGTGGGTCGATGGAGCGGACCTGGTCCCTGAACTGTGCCACTCGCTCATCCAGTCGCTTGGACTTGTAGAGGTGTGTTGCCCTCTTGTGTGAGAGACCTGCTCGCTGGATGGCAGTGTGGCAGAGTGAGAGTGATACTTTCCTCTGGAGGATGGACTCGAGCTTGCATCGCAGCACAGGACCAGTCTGGAACGGGTCCTGTTCAATCAGGGTGCGAATGACTGGACATGCCTGCTCGAAGAAAGTGGATCTGCGAGCTGGGACCCGGGATGGGTCATCCAGCTTGCATCCTCGGTGCCATCGATGGATGGTGCTCTTGGATACACTGAATATGGAGGCGACCTTACGCAGGCTATGGATGAGATCGTAGCATCGCAATGCGGCGGTGCGAAAGTCGGATGTGTGGCGAATGGTCATGGTCAGCGCGCGATGGTTTTGGGTAACAAAATATTCGATCAATGGTCAAAACCCGGGTGTCCCGTTTTTTATTGGATTGGCTGTCAAGCGACTCGATCTCCACAGCAAGCGACAGCGCACCGTCCACGAGATGTGCAAGCGAGTCATCGACCAGGCACCAAAGGAGACCGAAGTGGTGATTGCCTTTGGGAATGCCTCCTGGAAACAGGGGAAGGGATACGCATCCAGTCCCAGGAGACTCAGGTTTGCCAAGTACTTTGAGCAATTCCACCACCACCAGAGACGATCACCAGACCAATCCGTCTCCAAGATCCATGTGTGCTCGGTGAACGAGTTCAACACATCCCAGGTGTGCTCACATTGTCGGGAAGCCAAGCGACTCGAGTCACCCGAGTATCTTGATATCGAGAAACCACACTTTGTCCGGAGCTGTGCAAGCTGCCATACGCTGTGGGATCGAGACATCAATGCAGCCAGGAACATGATCTCGGTATGCCAGTCGATCATCGCCACAGGAGATCGACCGAGTGTATTCAAGACTGTGCTTCCGGACCCACCCAAAACAAAGAGATTGCCAACCAGGACGGGAAACAATCGCACGACCTGCCCACTGGGGTCTACGGATCAGCAGACCTGTGTCGCTGATGCCAGGAAGTGACTGTCCCGTTTCTTTCTGGTTTGACTGTATCACCGCCTCCGCCCTGTGAGTAATATCGAATCATCGTAGCTGCCAGATGATCACAGAAAAAGACGAATGCGTTTTTTTCTGTGGTATCAGAAGCAAGATTTCGAAATGAACTGGGAATACATCGGAATAGCCTTTTCATTTGTGTTGCTGTCGTGTATCACCGTTGGCCTTACGAAATCATACGGGTCCTACATCCCTTACGGAACGCTCATCGGACTTGGCTTGTGTCTGGCATCGATGATCGTCGCGATTGCGTTGTTTGCAGTTGGCTTCAAGCAATGAAAGGCTGGCCTCCTCTCATACGAGCCCGTTGCTGAGCCCGTTGCTGAGCCCGAAGAGCATCATTTATCCGAGCCCGTTGTCGAGCCCTATGCTCAGCCCGGTTACCCGACTCTGGATCAACCTGGAAAATTGTCCCCGGATCAACCTGAAACGCCGCTCTGTAATTTGCCTCTCGGAAAGCCCGGCGGTGTGCCTCTTCCACAGTCAGTTCTGGTGCCCATTGCTCAGCCTTTGACCAGGCCTCTTGGCGATTGCGTTCATACGCAGGATAAAGGATGTGATAAATCTGAGTTATGTGGTCAAGTTCAGGTCGCGATCGATATGTCGATGCAGGTTGCTCTGTTTGATCAGTCTCAGTCGTCTCTGTTTGTTCAGGGAGGGTCGTCTCTTCTGTGCGATCGTCTGCGAGGCTCAAGTCGACGCCATTGATCACGTCAGAGAGTGTATTGATGCCATGGTCTTGCTCCCACTGAAAGGCTTCTGAGGGCAGTTCAGGACGAGCACTGGTTCGATGGGAGTAGGAGTGGGGGTGTTCTACTCCAGGCCCCCCATAGTCGGTGCTATCATCGACATTCCCCCCGTATACGCGCCGTCCAGCAATATATTGTGGGTATTGCTTGCCGTTGTATTGGGTCCGATCCATTGTGGCTGTCTTGGACAAACAAAAAAAACGCAGTAAAGACTCCGAAACCATCAAGAGCACGACCCAAGCAGCAACCATGGAGTCCGCCGTCATCAGCAGCGACTGGGTGGATGTGGGAGAGATTGCCCAGCATTTCCAGACTGAAACTGGCCGCAAGCGTGGAGGAGTCGTCTTTTTCGACGAGGCTCTGTGTGAGCTCGCGGAAATACCGGCTATGCGTTTGATGATGTCCGAGATGCTCGCATGCCTCAGTTCTCGCCTGCGTGAACAAACCCGACACGAGCAACAACAACCCATCATTCTCGATCAGCAGCTCGCCCTCCTCAAACGAGAGCTGATGCAGAGCATTCAGAGACTGCATTCACAGCCCGCCCCCATCGACCCAGCATACACGCTATCGCTCGAGAAGCTCGATAGCGCCGTTACCCGCCTATCCGGCCGCTTTGATGATTGGGCGGTCGCCAAGACGTCCAACAAGGTCATTGGCCAACTGGGCGAGATCCGTCTTCTCGATATTCTCTGTGAAACCTTCCATCGAGACGAGGGCTTTGCCATCCAGGATACTCGCAGCAAAGCACACCACTGTGATATCGCTATCACCCATCCAGATCATCCACCTATTCACGTCGAGGTCAAGGCCCATGGCGAATTCAATGGTGCCTCGGTCGCTCGTCAGTGCGTCGATCGCTTTTGCAGCGATATCACCGGGCTCGGCTCCCATGGTATCCTTGTGAGCCTCTACACTGGCATTGTGGGTCACAAGGCAAGCATGGACATTGAGTTGCTTCCTTGTGGCAAGTTTGTCGTGTATTTGTCGAACAACAGGTTCGATGGCCAGAGCATCCGACAAGCAGTTATGCTGATCTACAAGTTGGATGCCCACACGCAGCAACCCAAAGCAGACGGGAGCGATGGTCTCGTCCTGTCAAACAACAAGCTCAAGCAGATCCAATCCTTCGTCAGAGACACTGCATTTCGAATTGAGATGACCAAATCGCACCTCAAAGAGGCCACGAAGAGTCTTAATGAGATTTCGCTCTCGATGTTGGATGACTTGCTGCGTTCCCCTTGAAGTCTTTTGTATTTTTTCGGTTGGATTGACAGAAAGCGGATCATGACCAGCGTATCCACCGACTACTTGCAACAGTGCAACCAGGCATTAGACCAATACAACACCATAGCCACCCAGAATGTTCAAATAAGCAATTATAATACTTCCATGGCCCAAAAGGCTGGCCAAGCATATACAGTCTGGACACAGCAAAAGCAAGCTGCCCAGCAGAGACATCAGGACTGGGTAAACATGGCGGGGCAGTATGCATCATGGAGCACCAAGAAGCAGCAGCTGGCAACGGAGACCAAGCAAACGGTTCACTCTGGCTGCTTCCCCGACCCGGCTGGGTGGTGTGCGAGCGACTATGGGCCTGGTTGGAGTAAACCGGGCGGAATCACCGGGTCGGGGTGCTATCAGTTCCCTCTGTGTATGCGGACCGATGCACAGGTTACCGCTGATCTGAATGCTGCCGGATATCTGGCTGCAGAACCACCTCCATTCACTCAGCCAGCCCCCCAGGACAACACAGGCCCATATGCCCACAAGGAGCAAATCACCAATAATGTCGATATCAATTGCTGTGCAAACATTCTAAATCTGACGCCAGGGAGCAGCGCGGTAAATATAGCGCAGCAATGCTCGCAGAGCATCAAGCAGTATCTATCCAACCCGACGCCGTCCGCGAGCACCTCGGCACCAGCGCCAGCACCAGCACCAGCATCGATTCCGGCACCATTGAAGCCGGTATCTGCATCAAGCAGCAGCGGATCATCGACGACCGCTTCATTATCGACTACGGTCATTGTTGCTATAGTTGCCTTTGCCATTGTTTTGGTATGCTGCTGCTCGTCGCTTGGTGGGCTGATAATTTCATTGTCGAATCCCACCAAAGTCCCCACCCCCCAATGATTGCGCTTCATGGCCAGCAAACACGGGTTCATGATGCACCTCCAATATACCAACATTCTTGACCGCGTTGGCTTTCGAAAAGTGGACGGTCTGGTTGTTATTGAACCGCACCGACTTTTTCATTTGAGCTCGTGCTCGCTTGCGGATGGCTGATTTCTTGGGCAAGGGCTTTGTCGATGCAGACCCACCGGGTTTGGAGCTCGATGGGAGTTTCTTGAGAGTGACTCGTTTGGATCGCTTTGACTTGAGCTTCTTTGAGAGGCTCTTGATTCCCTTGGGCTTTCGGCCCTTGACCGGAGTCTGGTCGCTTGAACTTGCCGCGTTCATTTTGGATCTACAAATATAGCGTGATACGGTATTGCCTGGAAAAAATGGCAGATTCAACCCTGATCAACGCATTTCTGT